GAACAAGACGAGACTTAGCCAGTCTTGGTCTTGGTCTTGGTCTTGGTCTTGCGCTCCCAGTCTTGGTCTTGGTCTTGCAGCAAGAGTCTTGCTAGTCTTGCAATTACCTATTAATCTATTACTATTTATTAAAGTTTACTTTAAATCTTAGAAAAACGTATTAGAATTGGAACATTGTGATCTTGAATTAACATAGCCATAGTAAAGATCAAGCAGATAAATAAATAACTGAATATTTGATAAGAAATTCGAAAAATCTACTGATGTCGTTTTCCATGGAAGTAACTGTGTCTTAATAAACATTTATGATTTATAAGCTTACATTTGCTAAAACATGTAAAAAAAAACAAATTAATTACAATAACTTGACTGTATTTTAAAGAACAATACTTATCTGTCTAGAAAGAGATTGAACCCTCAAGTTATATGGTATAGTAATAAAAGAGTTTTACGATTTATCATTTATTTGAATAAAAAATAAAATACAACACAAATCAACAGCTTTATCATTAGGTTATGATACTTTATATCAATTTTTTTTTGACCAAGAATTAATACAAAGTAACCATCTGGCTGACTCATCACTTAACCTATTTCTATGTTTTCTAATTACTAATGATGCTTTAAAAAATAACCTCTCAGCAGTTTCAAGTATATTTAAAAGTGGCTACAATATTTATTAAACGGGTGATATTTGAACACTTTTTTGCTATTTTCTTGTAAAAACTTAACAAATATAATGACTAAATGTACAATAATAGTACCTAAGCAATTAGTTTAAAACCATATAAGTAATCAATATTATAATATATACTTACTACAATGAATTAATATTACATCTACTACCTATCCTTACCATTTTATCCTAATCATAATACTACTTGCGTGATCAGTATAATGTATTCATTTTCATTCTAAGCACTCTGAAACTTCATTAGTCTTTGGAACACCTGTAGGTACTCTTAAAATTCGAAATTATTTCGCATGAGTATACCTACTCTGCGGCTACTACTGGCGGCAATCAAATAGTGTCAAATGTTATGATTTCGGGGTGGCGGCAACGATTGTTTTAGATTTCAAAAGAAGCCGCGAAGCCGGCGCCTGTATCATAACCATGTACCTACTTCCGAAAAGCGGCAAATTTCTTTGAGAAGTAAGTACAAAACCTTTGATGCCGCATTATCAAAGTGCCGATGGTTAAAACATAACTATGCATGCACTCAGTTTGATTTTAATAGATATTTTTTTATTCGCTATGTTTATGGTATTAGTCGTAATGCGCATAGGTCCAGTTTTTCATATTCTTTGATACAGTTTTTTGCGTCTCATAGAATTCTTAAGTGTACCTACCTAAACACCGAACTGTTACACCTAACTACTCAGTGAAATAGCGCTAAGTCCTAGCTGCAAGACGCAAGAGTCTTGCAGGCAAAGTCTTGTTCTTGCTCAAGTCTTGCACGGTCAGTCTTGTTCTTGGTCTTGCTAAAATTACGCGGTCATGTTCTTGGTCTTGGTCTTGCAAAAACGCAAGAACAAGACCAAGACTGCAAGACCAAGACTGAATTTGGGCAACACTAGTTATGACGTATGGCGCTCTGATTGGCCAGCCCTAATTTGACTAACCAATGACAGGGCTAAACGCGGTAAAGTTTCGAACGCGTCAACGCAAAGAAAAGTCGTAAGACTAACTTGTTTTTTGCCCAAAACCTAAAGTAATTTTAGTTTTGTTTCGAATCACTTCTTTTACTAATCAAACTTGTAAAAACCTCTTTTAGAGGAATTTCGAGCAAAGATTGCGTTTATTAAGGGATAGATAGACCAACACACTCGACTTCGTATGTGATTAAAACTCCTTTGAAATTATTGGCCCACCTTTAAATCATGCTTTTACTGAAAAAAAAAGTAAGAAGAAAAAAAAATGTTTTTATTCGAATTAAGACAAGAAAGCCAGGAAGAAAAAAATATACAAATTAAAAAATTGCAAAAATCCTCAAATTATATTTACAAAGAATAAATGTTTGAGTGAAGCTATCAATATTCGTCATAACGCGAGGGTTCTGACCGCCATGAATCATTTAGGCGTGACAATATTTGGCATAGTTTTAGCAACGCAGCCAAATCGATTCAAACCTTACGGTTCATGTCTGAAAGTATAAAATGCTGTTAATGAGATTACATGCTTAATTATGAGTGGCAAAATGCGTAAATAAATACTCTTCAAAAAAACTAGTGTAATTCTACCAACCATCTCCATGACTAAAATATTACTTTTTTAACGTGACTTCATTTTTTGACAACGGAATTCTATTATTTCGTGTAAAAAACGTGCCAAGAATATCTTTCTCAAACATATGTGATAATGTTGGCGAAATATTAAAGACCAATTGTTTATTAGTAAAGTCCTATCAAAATAAATTAGTATTGGTAACCAATATTGGATGTTGGCCATCAAAGCAACGACGGTTTCACACGCTTGAATCACCCGTGCTGAATATTAAACGTCAATCAGCGTAGTATTCCAACTGTTTCGTGCACCACGGAGTAAAGAGATAAAGAGACTACATGGATACGCTGATATAATATGAGGATCAAATAAAAATTCTAATGATTTTGATATCACGGCCTCACAGAAAACGGTAGTCATAGTGTTGACCTCAAGTGACTTGAGACAATAGCAGGAAGATCTTAATCCATTAAATAATTGGCAAATTGGTCGTAGGGAGAAGCTGTATCAGAGACCGTTAATTGAACAATCGCCATAACCCGCTATTTATTAGTTTTTTGAGGTGTAGGGGAGCTGGTGTAAAATAAATAACACGTCTGTTGTGCGTCACGGTGTCCTTTATTCTGTCCATAATCCTAATTACTACAATAATATACTACTCCATGTTTATTTCATTTTAAAGAAGGCTTATAGGACTTGCTACCAAATGTATAACAATGTGATGAAAACAGAAAACATCAACATAGGTACAGTTAGAAACAAATAAGAGAATTAATAACAAAAAAAAACTACCAGAAACTTAAGAGTCCATTAAACAAAATTTCAATTATCTTCATAAACGAAATATTATAGTAACAGGAGCCTCGTTTTCATTACACTAGTATAGAATAAGACAACATTTAATTTGTTAGGCAGTTCATTTAAGCCACATGTACTTTCTTAACACATTCAGTGCCCCCGACGCGTATGTGCGTTTCCTTAAACGCACATACGCGTCGGGGGCACTGAATGTGTTAATGTTAATTTATTTCGTCTATAATGACATGACGCGGAAGATACACCAAGTATATTTGTGTGACGTCTCCTATTTTTACACTCGGAGTCAAAACTTTACTTCTGTATACTCTACGTGTAGACATACCTATATTAATATGCATTGTCAGCTTGTAGCGGGGTCGCGGGGCAAGCGCAATGAGTCACCGCGGCCCCGGCCCAGAGCAATAGAACGGTGTTTAGTCAGTGAGAGTCTGACAGTCCCTAAAAAACTAAACTAATCAGTAAGTAACCTAGCGTATGCAGTAAGAAATAAAACACAGTTGGCATCAGAGTCTCAAGCGTATCATTTGTCTTCACACACATAACCTAGCAACATAAATACGCTTTTTTTTGCGAGGGGAAAATCATCATATGACTTCTTCTGCGCAGGGTCGGGCGAGAGGGAGTGTCAGACTCTTACTGACTAAAAACCCCCCTGTTCCTTCTCCTGCTCTGGGCCGGGGTCGCGGTGCCTCATTGCGCTTACCCCGCAACCCCGGCTGAAACATAAATACGCTACGGTTTCATTTCTTTTTGACTAGTGACGGGACAGCGTATCGATGAAACGCCCACCCTTACCGTACCTAGTGCGGGGAAATCGCGTGCGTTACGTGACCCGAAGATACCTCGATATTAAAACTCTTTCGCTTTTGTGGGAAATAGATTACGCCTGCAATTTAGATTCGCTGTGGTAACCTTTATTGACTTTGGATATCCGAACCTTTTTACATGCTCATTTTGAATTTGTGACTCTTATAATCTGGTGATTTTTTTTCTAGTTTAAATATGAATGTTGGCTGTTATTTTAAGTATATCCTCTATTCTATTTTTAAATAATTTAATAGGGCTAATTTGGAAGGGTAACGACCCCTTCGCATAACTGAGAAGCGTTAAAAAAAAGAAAAAGAAAGCAATAAATCACTCATATTTTACAGCATTTTTTGTACAGCAACCGTTGCGTGTTACACAGACATTGAAGTTACTTGCTCTGTCTTTTAGCCAGCTATGTAATATCAAACGTCCTTCGCTTTCAAAATTTACTTAAATGACGTATTACGTAGACTATATTTTTGATCAGCTGTTCTCAAAGTAAAAATGAAATTGTTTTATCATCTACTTGCTATGATTTCTTCAGTGTACCTTTGGGCAACTTTAGCTAGTGGTCCCAAAAAGCAAGCTTCCGATCTACGAAGCAAATAATGATATTTTATATACTTACTTAATTTACTTTTACCGCCTACTAACACCTAATGAGACGGCACTGAGATTTTATTTTATTTATTTTTTTGTGAGGGGAAAATCATCAAATGACTTCTCCCGCCCAGGGCCGGGCAGGAGGGAGTGTCAGACTCTTACTGACTAAAAACCCCCTGTTCCTTTTCCTGCTCTGTGCCGAGGTCGCGGTGCCTCATTGCGCTTACCCCGCAACCCCGGCTGAACATCAGCTCTTTAGGGCCCCGTCTGCGGTGGTCTAATGGCTCTTTGAGGCGCGCGCGGAACGCTACGCGCCGTACGCTCGGGTCTGGTTCTGGTCGGGCGGCGAGCTGCCCTTACTCGCCGACCGCAGACCTGTGCTTACGGTGGCCGGAGATCGTCCCATGACGGCACTGAGATAGAATTACGGTGCACCAGGACTAGACGGGGCATAGCCAATCACGCATAACTTTTAACTCGGTAATTGCATTGTTGCAATTTTTTCTCGAAAATAATTAAAATTTAATCTCGTACTTGTTATTTTCAGCGTACTTAGCAGGACAATATGCTCCGGGTTTCCTGACCGACTTGGTGCGCGAGATCAGGGACGCAGCGCGCATGCGCGAGGATGCGCTGTACTCGCGCGTACGAGCCATGGTCGTCGAGAGAAACGATGTAAGTTGGAACTTAAATAATTTCCTTAGATAAATTATCGAGTGGCTTCTCTCGTTTAAGGTATGGAGAGTGTCAGACTCTTTCTGACCATTCTTCTTTCCGCCTTGTTCCTTCTGGTACAGATCGAAGTCCACGACACCATATTGCGCATCACCCATACGTAACCCCGGCTAAACATCGGTCCTATTCAGCCCCATATGACCAATATGCATATTATTTGTCCCTGTAATTTAATAACTGTGACGAAAATAAAGTTGTTGTGCCTTATGTGCCTTTATTTGTCCAGGGAAAATACATAAAAATATTACTTAATTGTTTTACACTTGCTACTCTCGTGCGGTTTCACCCGCTGCTCGGCTCCATTTAATCCTAGCGTGATGTTTTATAGCCTATATATAGCACTCAGGAACATTATAGCTATCTATTAGTGAAAGGATTTTGGCAATTCGACCAGCGGTTCCAAAGATTACCCCCCTACATACAAACTTACAAATTTTACCTCTTTAAAATAGTTGTTTTACATTAGTCATCGGTATGTCAACAACAACAACATTCTTGTATTAAAAAGTAAATTTGTGATTTGTTTGTTTGTTACGCTTTCATGCTTAAACAGAATTGAGTAGCTACAATCTATTATTGGATTTTTAGATTTGATCATATTAATAACTTTCGTTTATGTCATGTTTTTTGATCACACCTTTTGTTACTTAGCCGTGGACGCTTCTAGACTGCTGGTGATTTTTTTATGGTATAAGTCGGCAAACGACTAGACGGATTACCTGATGGTAAGCAATTGGCGCCGCCCATGGACGCCCGCAACACCAAAGGAGTTACGAGTGCGTTGCCGGCCTTTTGGGGATAGGGGTTGCGGATATAAGGATCGGGAAAGTCTAGGGGAAGGGGAGGGATTGGGCCTCTGGTAACCTCACTCACACGGCGAAACACAACGCTGTGGGTTGTTTCACGTCGGTATTCCGTGAGGCCGTGGTATCACTCCGGTCGAGCCGACCATTCTTGCCGAAGCTTGGCTCTCCCACACTTGATGATGATAAAGATGAAGTATGTCTCAGTTCACTATCAGAAAGAAAGATTTCTTACTTCTAACTCAAAGGACACAGAAAAGAATAATGAAAACACTCATATGCATATTGAATTAAAAAACCAACCTTACTACTACTATACACATTGAAACGAATATACTTATATGTAGGTTTACTAAGAGGACAGACTGACAATTCCTATCTTAAATGTTTATTTGATTGATGTTCATATATGGCCTAGAATGGTCCAACTAACATCAATGATTTCACTTTTGTCTTTTTTTTTGTCACGCAAGTAATATCAAAAATATGTTTTCCTTTAGGTTAACTTCTTTTTCGGATTCTTTGCCTAAACATTAGTGTTACACTGTTCTCACATAACGGAACCGACTAAATGATGTAACAAAGAAATGAATTGTAAAAAATTGAAAGAGCCATATAAACAAAGAGTCATTTTTGTACGAACAATAATGGCTTAACTTGCATATATGCATACATACAAGTAGTATATTTCTACTATGACCTTAAACTGACGTCTTAAACCAATCAAATGACTTTCTTTACGAGTAATCGATACTAGTCATTTGATTCTTCTACAATACATATAATGGACAATTCAAGGCAAGAATAGGGTGACATTCTGACCTTCAGACGTGACCTTGTTTGGTTTAAGGTTCCTAATGACTATTCAAGGCATGTAGCTAGTGTGATACCAACCCTTTTGTGATATTACTAGCTTCCATAAAATAATGTATCCCGGGATTTTAAAGCGTTTAAAGCAATAGTTCGACTAAAATACACAAAGCAAGTAATATATAGCACTCAAAACTTTGTAGCTATCTATCAGTGAAATAATTTTGGAAATCCGCCCACGATTCCAAAGATTACCCCTTACATACAAACTTACAAATTCAACCTCTTTGTTTTATTAGTATGGTTTTTATCATAAAAGGGCAGTGTCAGACTATATCTATAATTCGGAAAATGCTTTTTTGCATCACCGCTGTCGGCCCGGTACACCCACTATCCCCTTGTTCTTCCCCTGTAGAAATCTCGAAGAAACCTCTTCAATTCTATATTAATACAAAAAACTATAACACTTCCACTTTAACACACTTTATACACTTGTTGCAAGTGTTATTCAAATGGTTGCAAAATGGTATTGTCTATATATTTTTTCCTTTTGTAGAAAAAAAAAATGTATTTTCTGCTGTGTCGTGTGGGTGCGTTTATAAACAGACAAATTCAAATACACAAGCCACTCAGACCCTAAACAACAATTTGTGGATCACACAAAGTGCGGGAATCGAAAACGCGACACCATGTTACCTAGCCACTGCGCTAACCATGCAGTCCACAAAGAAACATGTAATAGAATTTCGACCATAGAACAACATTAAAAACTTATTAAGTATCCACTGTAACGCCGTTTAAAGTAACAAATTGATTGTATAGAACGGTTTTTAATACTTTATTTATTTGCTATAAAACTTCTGAGAGCACCATGACAAATATAAAGTTAGATACGGAACCAATTTGTTGGATTATCGAAGCGAAACGCGTTTTATTATTAAGTTCCACCTTAAGGATCTCCTTTAACTGTCTTTGCAGATATTGGTTGATCCAATGTCTCTGTCACTGTTTATTGTGTTTATTTTAATGAATCTGTGAACAGTTGGGCCTTTTTCGGACGTATACACCTTTTTTTTGGGGAGGGAAAATCATCGATTGATTTTATCTTCGTGTGTCAGACTATCTTTGACTGTAAAACTCTCATTCACCTACTCCAGGCCAAGGCCACGGTACCTTATTGCGTTTGAACGCGGATCCAGTGCGATTTTGTTACTGTCCATCGCAGGGTCTCCAATACTCATGTTAGGACAAATATATTGGCATAATTTAACAGTAAAAAATGAGATGTGAATGCTTTTATGCATTACTTAATTCATCACCCAACTTCAAAAAGCGGTTGCAGTAGATATAATATAGGTAACATGTAGAATTTTCTAAATAGACCAAATAAAAAAAATGTGTTTGAGGTATGAAAGACTTGGTTGGCAGTGCACGAGACAGTCGAAAAAATTCTCAAGACTGCCAAGAATTTGGGGTATGTCGGTCGTTCTGAATACGTGCGAATTAACGGTATGCTTCTTTCTATATGTGTTATTATGTTGATTGTACATTTATTTTAAATCTGCAGTTACAGTTTTTGCACGTGATATCGCGCCCACCACGGCTTCTTACAAAAAGTTTATATGTAGGTACTACATGTAAACTTTTTGGTTCGCCCACTTTTTCTTTAATCGTCTTTTCTGATCTCCTGTCCTATAACTATCTACTTGCAGATTGCCCCTCCTTCGTACCGGTGTCCAACTAAAAGGATTGCCAGCTTCCCATATAATCATATATTAAATAAATTAATAATAATATAATCATATACAAAAATAAATTCAATAATTTATATGTAAAGATGTCCTCTTGATGATAATGCCTTTAATAAACTCCAAAACAATGATATTGATTTGTAAAAATTTTTCACAATCGTAGAATGCTTCTTTTAAAGAGTAACATGATCTACTTGATATCCAGATATTGCCGGGAGAAGGATCGAAATTGGTCTTAGATGTGATAAGCGGATGGATATAAATATTTTCTTAGGGACTTTTATCAATTCTTTCATCTATACATACACAATTCGTACGGGTTATAAATCAATTCTACAACGTACAATACGAATGCAGACACTATCCAGACTGGACTTGACATTTTCCAAAACATCTTGGCTCTTGTCCAAACATTCTCAAATCGTTCGTTCTCCATTTCCAGTTCAATGACCTTTCGTGCTTAATATAATGGTCATTATGACATTCGAATTTGTGGCAGCCATTTTTATAATATCGATGACCAAGTGTCCAAAAAGGTTACCTACTTTGATTAAGGTTTTATTCCCTACCCGTAATTTTTATAAATCAAACTTATTCTCAAAATTGCGGCTGTGTTAAACTCTAAGCGAATCAGTATTCTTCTTATCATAACACTCTTAGATAACCAAATAAGGTGTACGTAATAGATTTACATACATTCAAGTTATATACCCGATAACGGTATTTATGTGTCATTGATAACCTATCAATAGACAAACATTGGCATGTATTTATAACTAAAAATCTTCCCAGTGACGATACCGAAGTGCATATGGTGTTACGAGTACATTCTTAGAATAAAAACTTCCAACAAAATATCAATCCTACTAATATTATTAATGTAAAACTCGGTGAAAATATATGGATGTATGTTTGTTATTTTTTCACGCAAAAATTTCTGGACCGGTTTATTTGAAATTTGGTATGTATATAGTACCCTGGATTAACACACGTTTCTTAACATACAACGCGGGCGAAGGTATTTCAAAAACAGCAGCGTTTTAAGTGACAGTTCGACTTAGATACGCAAATCTATACTAATATTATAAAGAGGTAAAATTTGTAAGTTTGTATGTAGGTTTGTATCTTTGGAACCACTGGTCGGATTGCCAAAATTCTTTCACTGATAGATAGCTACAATGCTACAATGTTCCAGAGTGCTATAGGCTATAAAACATCACGATTAAATGGAGCCGAGCAGAGAGTGAAACCGCGCGAGAGTAGCTAGTCAGGAATAGTTTATAGCCTACTAACGGCCTACCGCTGCTTTGCACGGATCTCCAACTACATACCTCGCACACAACGCAAAAGAGTATTTCTCAACTCTCCCCTCTACGTTTCTAAATACTTTTTTTCATAAGAACCTTCTCCTGACTATTACAAACATACCAAATGGTAAAATTGGTCGAGGCATTGGTACTAACACATTATGCGATTCATTTTTATATTTATTGCCTACTAGCTTTTGCCCGCGATTTTGTTTGTGTTGCATAGTGACTTCCTGCAGATTTTTGGTTTAAAACTTTCCTATGTCCTTTATCGAGTTCCAAACTATGTCTGTACCAAATTTCACACAAATAGGTTCAGTAGTTTAGGGTCGAAGAAAAGACAGACAGACAGAGTTATTTTCGCATTTATAAAATTTTTTGGATAGCACTCACTGAAATTGTAGCCGTCAATGAACAAATACAGTAAATGCGACCATTGGTTCCTAAGACTACCCCCGAAAACACACTTACAAACCGTTGGTAAAAAACATTATGCGATTCATTTTTATATTTATTGCCTACTAGCTTTTGCCCGCGACTTTGTTCGCGTTGCATATTTCTGCAGTGTAGTTCCATTGGTATCCTAATATTTCCTTTAAAAACTCTATTAAGTGACTTCCTCTTATAATTTATCAATTGGGGTCATTGATACACTTATTTAGATACTTACTACTGGTCAGCCCATAAGTGCTCTCTCACACGAAGAAGGTTTTAAAGCATTAATCACCACGCTAGCTCAAGGTGGATTGGCGATATCTTTCAAACTTATGAATAGAAATTATAAGTCCAGGTTTCCTCACGATGTTTTCCTTCACCGTATACCAGCTGTGTCTAGATAGTCACAGAAAGTACATATAACTCGGAAAAAGTCACATTAGTACTTACATGAGAAGCAGGCGCCTTAACCTCCAGGCCACCACGACCTCCCCCTGCTACCAGTCGATATGATAAATACGCTGCTTTACTTGCATCACAGAGAACAAATGTGTCGCCCTTATACAAAAATATTATTTCGCTGAAGATTTATTTTTTGCTTGTCTTAAAGCTTTAATCTCCAAAACTGCTGGTTTAAATTGAATAATTATTTCCGTGTTGGATTGTCAATTTATTGAGGTAGGCAAGCACGCTAAACAGCTCGCTATGGCAAACGAAACCCTAAATCACCGAAACCCTAATCCCCAAAAGGCCGGCGACACACTCGTAAATCTTCCGGTGTTGCGGGAGTCTATGGGCGACGCCGATTGCTTACCATCAGGTAATCCGTCTGCTCTTTTACCGTCCTATCACATAAAAAACTCCAAATAAACTTGGCAATTCATTGTATCTAATGTAACTACCTAATCGTCCATCTTTTCCTGTTAATTTTTGTATTTATTGCACAAATACTTGACTTTCTAAATTGGCTTTAGTTTTATTGTAATTAATGCTCTGTCTTTTACCTTTTCAACTGTACAGGAAAATGATCATGTAATCTACTTATCTAATTTAAACAGTATTGGTAGGAATACTGTGGCGGCACCAATACTAGGTACATTTTTTAACTGCCTTGATTTTGTAGGAAGTTCTCATTTCGGTTATCAGAAATCGAGAGATAACTTTTAAAGTTTCTGTCAAACATCAAGATCAAGATCGGTTATTGAAATAAAATTGTAACCGCTTCGCAGAAAACCGGCGTGAAAGAACCACAGCGCGTGTTTCGCTATGTTAATATCGAAGGCTCAATTCCACCATCCTAATCCACAAAATCCCCCATGTTCTACTGCCGTACCTCTTAAAGACCGGTTTCTCCTCTGGCGTTGCTCACGACGCAGATGCTCACAATCCGTGATCCGTTCTCCCGTTTGCCACCTTGAAATAAAAACATTTGTCGCAATCAATACTTCGTTTAAACAGTGTGTGTATACCTACGTAGATATTATGTTGTCCACTACTCATAGTATACTGTAAAATTATTAATCTAACAGTATTGTTCATCGATCAATAAATCTGGGTCGTTAGCCGAGGCAATGCGTGCATGGAATTCAGTCCGTACTTACCTTACTCAGAAACTGTTTCCTCGTTTGTGTAGCTCATTTTTATATGTCTAGCATATTTTCTAAACTAGAAGTATATCTGAACAGCCGTTTGATGCAGTTTTGGCTGTGTGGTCTTAGTAAACGTAGTTAAGAATACTCTTCAGTTTAACTAAACACCCATAAATGGGGTTACGGGTGCAAGAGCAATAATGGCGATGACCTCGGGCAATAGCAAGAAAGTGAAGGATCGGGGTGATTTTTAGTCATTTATAAGTCTTATACTCCCCGTCGCCATTAACAGGTTGGCAAAGGAATTAAATGATATCGCCTCCTCAAGAAAAGCGTAATCTTTAACATTTTTTTATTAGATTTGCAGTTTTGTTCGTCTTGTTACGTGCTAAAAACAATACCCATTAATAACAATTTCATGGCAGACCTCGATCTGCCTTTTCTTTTAATTCCTGCTGTTTTGACCTCAATATTAACAGTAACTTGTTTTCTTTTTTCACAGAACGGTTTGACATCTTCGGAAGCTAAGTTCACAGAAAAAGCTCTTGAAGAGATCAAGGTATGTCTAATTTTGTTAATTTGTTGTCAGCGGAATTCATTCTGCACGAAACTAGTTGGTGGCGCCATCTGTCTTTGACATGTCGTACTTATAGCACGAAACGTTTACTGCTGAATTGGCTAGATAGCGCTGTTATCAAAGTTGTTTTCAGATTGTGGTAGTTTGATTAGAAGTCTACAGAGGGCGCTTAAAAATATTTTTAATGTCTGAATAAAAAACCATTGGTGACTATTTATATTACTTTTTGTTTCAAAGGCCTTTAAAAACTTTGAGAAAGGCGATCTGAGAAGCGAAAGTGGTAATGCAGTTTCATAAAGTCAAGAATTCAAGGACTTACTTAAAAACCTAGCAAAATTCCGAGAATTTGTTAATAATTGTGTACATATGTATACATGATTAATAAAAACGTTGTTATGAAAAATCTAATACGCAAGTCTTAATAGCTCGTTATAATGGCATTAGCATAAGCCTAGCACTGTTTATTTACCCAAGACTTTGCATAAAACCTCAAGGAATTGTAAAATCAACATTATTTTTTCATATTTCACAAGTTTTTTTTTCGTTGAGTTTGTATTTTTTACGTTTTCACCTCAATTCGGTGCTATTAAGCATTATTTGCGGAGCGAGTTGGGTGGTCTCGTCGAGGGCTCTTCACGCCCTGACGCACTGTCTCGCTGAATGACGAAGAGCCACAGAACATAGCAAGCACAGAAGGAACACTTGGTTGCACCACATACATAGTAAAAGTGATAAGTAGTTGAAAGCTAGTCCACGTGTAATATTCCCTAAATGTGGGTTTTATTAAAAAATTAATTAAGTCAGTATTTGGAAAATTACCCAAAAATCATCCTCTTTTTCAAAAATTTGAATGTAATAAAATTGTGTAAGTATTCTAAACTAGCTTCTCTTGTTCGGTTTCACCCGCTGCTACAGATCCTAGCGTAATGTTTTATAGCTTATAGCCTTTCGTGATAAAAGGACTAACAAACACAAAAGAAATTGTTCATTTCGAACCAGTAGTTCTGGAGATTAGCGCGTTCAAACAAACAAACAAACAAACTCTTCAGCTTTATATTATTCTAAATTTTTTATCTGTTCTTTAGTTTTTGCGTTTTTTTTTTTTTTTAATTGCGTGGGTAATGCGAATGTAATTGGTATTTTTAACCTAAACCATTATTAGTAGCTATAAAATTTAACTTTCTAATTTAATATTAGAAAGTTAAATTTTATACCTAATAGTTGAAAAATTTTGATTTAAGTACCACTTATTTTTCCCCAGTATTTGCCATTAACCCTTAACTTGACAGCGTACATCACACTGTACATACATTTAAAAAAAATATATCTCATTAGTTTTGGAAAAAATAATAATTCTGTTTTTCATCAATATATTGTCAAATACAGTAGAATTGGTAGAAAATTATTTATCTGTGACAACACTATTAAACACATGTCAAAATCAAAATGGCCGCGAAGCAACAAGCTGTACGTGTGACACGAGTAAGTGTTTTATTTATTTTTTTACTTTTTGGCTCGAAACTTGGCAATGTTTTGTCTGTGCTTTGATGTAAAGAATATTCAGCATTCAATTAGTGCATGTTTACGTAGCTACCTAAACACTATCTCACGCATTTGATAAAAGAATTGAATGTACATTGCACTGCACGCTGCCAATGACACGCTGAAGTACTCACCGTAAACTATGGTAACCACACTGTACATTGCCAGGTTTACGAAGTATTTGGATTTTGATTGTTTTGGGGTATTTGCTTGTTATTTTTGTAATGTTTTGACAGAAGGTGTTGGTTTTGACTTTTGTTTTTTTTTATTTTGTCTGCAGAATTTAAAACTAACTCGCTCGCACAAAATCTTGGCTTTGGTTCCTGAAAAAAATGCTTGTTCTGAGGGTAGTTCTTCGTCCGATGAAGAAACCAACGTATATATACCACCTTCTCCAGATACCTCTGATCCACCTTCGCTAGCGTCTTCGCTTGAGGGCCTCAATTTACTAGATAGCTCGACTGAATCCAATAAAGAGCAGATTGATATCTCTGTAGATGCACCTCTGACGCCAATATTCAACGAAGTTTTTCCATCACCGACTACAAGCAACTACAACATTTTACCTACACTGAACTCCATACAGTCTTTACCAACCCCAACCGTTGAACAATCGTCTCCTCAGCCCGGCACTAGCCGACAACAGTTGCCACTTACCAGGTCTAAGCGTAAGAAGACAACAAGGAATGCAGTGACCAAAAAAGTTGCGGTCAAGAAATTTGTTCTAGATTATCATTGGTCCAAATCAGTATTCCGTCATAGTGCTTGTCTCGAAGAAAACCTATACGACCTCCATCAAACAGATATTGATACAGCCCTGGACTATTTTTACTACTTTTTTTCACCTGATATAATTACTGACATTGTTCATAATACAAATTTATACTCAGTGCAACAACTAGGGCGATCTATACAGTTGACAGAAGATGAGATAAAAAACTTTCTAGCCATTCAAATGTTAATGGGTATAGTACATATGCCAGCCTATACAGATTATTGGGGTAAAAGGACAAGATACCCTCTCATTGCTGATCTTATGCCTCTCAAAAGGTATCAACAAATACGTCGGTACCTTCACTTTGCTAATAACACCTTAGAAGATTCAGACCGCTACTTCAAAATTCGTCCCGTAATGGAAAGAATACGGCAAAACTTTTTGAAAGTTGAAGAAGAAGGAAAATATTCTATAGACGAGATGATGATACCTTATAAAGGTCGTAAAGCAGGTAAAAGGAAGCAATATGTAAAAATGAAACCCAAAAAATGGGGATTCAAGAATTTCGTGCGTGCGGGAGTTTCGGGTATTATATACGATTTTCTTCTTTATGGTGGCGATGACACGTTTCGTGGACTGACATTTAGGGACAAAGAAGCTTCAATTGGTTTGGGGGGCAAAGTAGTGATTGCATTGTGCCAAACTATAAGGCAAAAGCCGGCCATTATTTACGCCGATAACTTTTTCATGTCACTTGAACTAACGCACATACTGCGAGAAGAGTACGGCATTCTAAGTCTCGGTACTATAAGGACTAATCGTTTACGAGGGTGTCAGGAATTATTGCCAACGGACCAACAAATGAAGAAGAAGAAACGTGGTTCTAGCGCTCAAGTTGTCTGTAATAAAAACAAGCTGGCGGTGGTGAAGTGGAACGACAATAAGGTCGTCACACTTATTAGCTCTTATATAGACTCGCACCCCATCGAAACTATCAAGCGATATGATAAAGATGAGAAAAAGAAGGTACATGTAGAATGTCCCCAAATTGTAAAACATTACAATAAACACATGGGTGGGGTAGATTTGGCGGACATGCTAATATCTTTATATAGAACCCCCTTTAAAAGTCATCGTTGGTATTTAGGAATATTTTCACAACTTATTGATATGTGTATTAATAACGCTTGGCTTTTGCATAAACGAGATGGGAAAAATATTATGTTAAAGGATTTTAGATTTCAATTGTTCGAAGGATTGACTAAATCAAATAAAATAGTAAAAGGTATAAACGCCACAGAAGACATAGGCGAGGATCTAAAAATCCATAAACCAGTCTCCGTTCGTCCAACAGATAGCGTCCGATTCGATGACAAGGGTCATCTTCCAGAAGCAGGGGATGAAACAATGCGTTGCAAGTACTGCAAAAGTGGTAGGACAACTGTCTTCTGTATAAAATGTAACGTGCATTTATGTTTTGTTGTGGGAAAACAAAAACGTAATTGCTTCCGTAATTTTCACACAAAATAATTAAGATTTTTTAATATTTCATCCTTTTCATTACAATAAATATACAATTTAAATTAAAAATGTATTTTATTATCAACCTGGCAATGTCCATCACAATGTACAAACAATATAATATCGACATTTGGGCATAATTGGCAGTGTGCATTGTGATGTACATAGTTTTTCTCGAAACCTAGGATATCTAGATTTTTTTATTTATTTTTTTCGTATCTTTTAGTCATAATTAACACCAAATATATCAAAAAAGTACATATTTTAAAGATTTTTACTTCCTGCCACGTTAAGGGTTAATAATCATTATCGTCAACCTTCAAACAGATCTTCACCTTACATTAATTTATTTTTTAGTAGATAAAATTATTTTATAGTAATGTACCTTCCACAGCACCCTTGTATGTGGCCTGGTAACATTTAGTGTTGGCATAGACATTCGCGTCAAGTCCATTGTTGTTGATGCGAAACGCCTACGACGCAAGCGCATAGTGACTTGGCGAATTATTTCGACTTGGGCCTTTTTTTAAAATAATTCTATAGATATACTCCTGTGTTAGTATTGTACTAGTATTAGTACTTATGATTATTTTTGTAGAATAGTTTTTATGTGCTTTTGTAAATGTGATTGGTATAGAACAGATATTGCATGGTGTTTTACATTTTTCTATTAGATTATGGTTTTATGGTACAAGACACTGAATCTAATTATTTTTTTGTCTTGATTAATAATACGAATACAGAAGTTTGCTTAAGTTGATCAAATACGGGATGGTTATTAAATGTTTTTTATCATTTTACGTTAGGCATGTCATTCAAAAGTATTTCTATAAGTGTTAGCCAGTCATTTTACCGCGACACATTTTAAACCCTTTAAAAAGCTAGCGTGGTTATTAATGATCAAACCTTTTCTGCTTGAGATAAGGTTTTGTTCAGCAGTGGGCACTTAAAGGCTGATGTTACGAAAAAAGATATTTTCAAACCGTTTTCAGTTCGAACATATTCGAACGTTCGGCACACTATTCAAATTCGGAATAACTTCTAGATACCTTTAAAATTGGAAAAAAGGAACGTTCCGTAGATACAACTGTTTGATTTTCATACCCGTATGCACACGCGGGGATTATAAAATCAGCAAGAGTGAATAAAACGGAACGCATCGATTTAACTCTACGTACGTGGCGACTTCGCACTTTCAACGGTT